TGGACCGGGAGGAGCTGTGCGGCCAGTCCGCCACCTGCATGCTCCCCTTCGAGCTGCTGCTCTCCAACCCCCTGCAGTTCTTTCGGGTCGAGGTGGCTCTGGAGGATATCAATGACCATTCACCCGTCTTCCCCGAGGAACGAGTGACTTTTGACATCACGGAAAAGAGCGACCTGGGTTCACGTTTCCCTCTGGAGGCAGCTCAGGACCTCGATATTGGCAGCAACACAGTCCAGGCATACAGCATTTCTCCTGAGAACGAATACTTTAGTGTCGCTTATAGAAGTCGGAGTGAGGATGACAAATATATTGAACTTGTTTTGGAGAAGCCACTAGACAGAGAGGAGCAGTCAGAGATGAGTTTCAGTGTCATTGCTGTGGATGGTGGCTCTCCTCCCAGGACTGGGACAACTGAAGTGAAAATTGTCATTCTAGATGTAAATGACAATCCTCCCATATTCACACAAGAGCGTTATTTTGGAAAAGTCCTGGAGAACATGCCAGAAGGGTCTGTAGTTTTAACGGTGCTGGCAAGAGATCAGGATGCAGGAGTTTATGGGGAAATTTCTTACCAACTCAGCCACGCACTGGGGCAGAGTGACTCAGCATTTGTGATTGATCCCATAACTGGTGAAATTAAAACCACAAAACCTCTGGACTTTGAGGCAGCACAAAGTCACGAACTGAGAGTAAGTGCCACAGATGGTGGTGGGCTCTCAGCCATCTGCAAAGTGCTGGTGGAGGTGGTGGATGTGAATGACAATGCCCCAGAGGTGGTGGTCAGCTCCTTCAGCAGTCCCCTCCCCGAGAACACAGCGCCCGGCACGGTGGTTGCCCTGTTTACGGTCAGGGACCGGGATTCTGGGGCCAACGGGAAGATCTCGTGTGGCCTCGAGGATCAGCTCTTCTTCTCGCTGCGGCCAGCCTATAAGAATTACTATGAGCTGGTGACAGTGAGCGCGCTGGACCGCGAGGAGACGGCTCGCTACATCCTCAGGGTGACGGCGGCAGACGCGGGGTCGCCTCCTCTGACGAGCACGCAGACCTTCACCGTGGACATCTCGGATGTCAATGACAACGCCCCCGTCTTCAACCAGACGTCGTACACCATGTACGTGCGTGAGAACAATGTGCCCACGGTGTTTGTTGGAGCCGTCAGCGCTGCCGACGCTGACGTGGGGCTCAATGGCAAGGTGAGCTATTCGCTGGCAGCGGTGCAGGCGGCAGAGGGGCCTTGGTGCTCGTGCGTGTCTGTGAACTCTGAGAACGGGCACGTGTTTGTGCTGCGGCCCCTGGACTACGAGCGCTTGAGGCAGACGGAGGTGACGGTCAGTGCCTCTGACGCGGGCTCTCCTCCCCTCAGAGCCAACGTCAGCGTCCGCCTCGTGGTGCTGGACGAGAACGACAACGCCCCGCTCGTGCTGTACCCAGGCCAGGACAGCAGCCCAGCGTCCAGTGAGCTGGTGCCCGTGTCGGCCGAGGCGGGCTACCTCATCACCAAAGTGGTGGCCGTGGATGCCGACTCCGGGCAGAACTCGTGGCTCTCGTACCACCTGCTGAGGGCCAGCGAGCCAGGGCTGTTCACGGTGGGTGTCCACAGCGGGGAGGTGCGTCTGAGGAGGCCGGTGACGGAGAGAGACAGCGTGAGGCAGAAGCTCCTTGTCCTGGTCAGAGACAACGGCAAGCCGCCCCTGTCGGCCACGGCAGCTGTGAGCGCGCTCCTGCTCAAGGACTTGTCAGACGTGCGCCTCCCCGGGCACAGCAGCCCGGCGCCAGAGGATCAGGCTGGCTCCCTCACCACCTATTTAATCATTGCCCTGGTGTGTGTCTCCCTGCTCTTCCTCGTCTCCACCGCACTCTTTGTGGCTCGCAAGGTGTGCAAGAGAAAGGAGCTGAAGGCTGGCCATGTGCTTTATGGTGCCGACAACTTGCAGAGCGGCCTGGCCGATGGGGCCGCTGCAGGGAGCCTGCCCCGCGCCTATTGCTACGAGATCAGCCTCACAACGGGCTCGGGCAACAGCGAGTTCAAATTCCTCAAGCCCATCCTGCCCAGCGTGCCACCACAGCACTGCGCCGTGGGCCAGGGCCCGGAGGATGAACAGCATTTCCCCTGTGTCCCTGTCAGCACCGAGGACACGGCACCAGACAATCCTGGCACTCTCTCTGCAGGACACTTCAATTCTCTTTCCTTCAACTAGCTGGGCTCTGCACTGCCAGAGGCTTCACTGCCCATGGGAGATTGGGATCCAGGCAGCAGCGGGTGATAATCTTTCCTCCAGAGCCGACTTGTGTTTCCAAATGCTATAACCAATTTCCCTCATATTCTAAGTCATAGTAGAAGTTGTCATGTTCTCCAAAAAGAGAAAAATCAAAGCAAATAAAAGAGAGTTGGGCTGTCACTGTGGCAGTAATATGCTTCATCTCTGATTTGGCCATTTCTGATAGACTTGAAGAAGGGGGTTAGCACTCCAGCTAAGCTCCTGTGCCTGGTGCTGTCAGGCCGGATCATGACAGTCTTATTCATTGCTATAGCACAATGGCACATTTGGTTAGTCAATTCTCACTCTTGTTGAAATAGGTCAAAGCCCTTTGTCCAGCTCAGAAATGCAAGGTACTTTTGAATACCATGTTGTGATGTTTTCTGAGCATCAGTCTTTTTCTTTCTGGGGCTTTGGAGGTCTCTCTCTGAGATATTTGGGCTTTGTGTGTTACACTTTTATGTCAGGATGTCTGTCTGTTCACCCTTTGTGCATCTGGAAATGCTGCAGTAGTGCTGCCCTGTGAAAGAGTGAATTTGTCCCATCCAGCCATTGCAATTCTGGTAATTCCAGCTCTGCAGAGTAAAAGGCCATTTTGACCCTATGAGTACAGGAGTCTTCTTCAAGGCAGAGAGGAGCTGGAAAATGCACAGTAAAATCTTCTTTTAGCATGTTCGTGGGATTGGTGTTCTGTCCCACTCAGATTGGCTTAGAAATGCAGCACCAGAAGATGCAATAGGGCAGGCTATAAGTGTGGAGAATCACGAACAGTTATTAATTGTCTTTATATGCATGAGAACACCACATGTCCATGAAATACAATTTTTAGTTAGAGTTAGAATGAAGCAGAACTTGAAAACAAGTCTTTGAGTTTTCCTTACTCTTTGTTGTTTCTGAATTCAGGAGATTCATGCTGGTGCTAGATAGCTGTCCCTACAGGATTTTCTCCATTTGTGTTAGAGCGTTTGCATTCCCTTTTTTGCCTTTTCTCTTTTTATTGACTTAACTGTATTGGGCATTATTTTTCTAATTCTTCTTGAGAAGGACAGCCTGCCCATCTATAACTACTGGTAGTATGAATGATGTCTGTGATGCATGAAGCATTAACAAAGACAGTCTGAAGTTGTATTGTGCTGAAGATAGAAACATTAATATTGGTATATCTCTGAGTTTAAAAATTGTAAAAATATGTAGAATTGAAATAAAGAATGACTACTTACATGGAGACAAAATTCTTTGTAGATATGTGCTTTCTGGGGAAGACTTGTCACGGCTCCTCAAGCTTCTGCGAGGGTTATTCTCACAATGTCCTGTGACAGAACATTTGGATGCGTTCAGTTGGTGAGCGTGGAGATGCAGGCGGGGAGTTTCCGTTTGCTGCCCGTGCCGTCAGCATCGCCCACTGCGTGCTCGGTTTGTCCTGCTGAGCGATGAGGCTGCGTGGTTCTGGTGTGGGTGTGGGCTTGGCGCTGCCCTGGGAAAGGGCGCATTGTGATGCTGGCGCCGGGTGTGTGGAAAGCTTTGGAGTCTCGGTCCGGGGCGAGCGGCAGCGCGGGCTGCGGGCGGCGGCGGGCGCAGTTGCAGCGCGCACCGCTGGGTGGTGC